AACAAGCCGAGAGGCTGCAGAGACTGGGAGGGTGTCCAAGAGTCACTGCATGCCCCAGCCCTGCAGCAACCCCTGCTGCCCCTGCAGATAACATCTCCCCAGCCTCCAGCAGCTCCTCTTTCGGGTGCAAGGAGAGTTAACGCTCCGGCGCCGGGGCCTGCGTGCTGCCATTGGACAGCGGCCGCGTCCATCACGCTTAGGAAGTGACTGCGCGGGGACGGCTGCTCCGCATTCAAGTGTGTACACGGAAGGAGAAGGACAGAGCCGGCGAACGCGCGCCGCCAGGGCGCAGGCAACAAGGTAAAGTGATTTACTGCTAAGCCACGAGAGCCCCGCGCCGCAACGCGCCAGCCGGGCTGGGGCGCCGCTTCCGCACGGACACGGCTCGTGGGGACGCAAAGCACCACGGAAAGCATCAACTTCCCACCTCGCACACAAGAGTGTTTTGTTCCCAGCAGCTCTGCCTCAGTTTGGCTTTAGGAACCGAGCTAGGGAAGGAGGGGACGGCCAGGCGAACGCGAAGCCGGAGGCCTTGCCATTTTTCTGTAACGTAACTTTGCCCAAAGGGGGTTTGGTCCTAATTTGAGATCGCGTGGCCTGTTTTTAGCAGAACCGGTAAAATAGATCCCCTCCTCCACGGAGCAGCACACGAGGGAGGGCAGAGGAGTGGGAGCAGCCCAGGCAGGAGGAGGAGGAGGAAGGTGGCCTGTCTCAAACTGACCATAAAGCACTTGGAGAGCTCAGAGCTCTCGGTTCCCCCTCCATCGTGGCCTGGACATTCCTCTGGCTCACGCCGCCTCCTTCCTCGTCTCGGCAAAGAGTTCAGAAGAGGGTTTTCCCCACCCCCCTTTTCTGACTAAAAATCCAAACTGATCTGTACCCACCAGACAGTCACGTGGCCGTGGTGCCAGCAGAGCCGAATGTCACGGTCCCCTTTCCTCCCACAGGCGTGGTCTCCGGCGCCTGCACATTACCCTTTTATTTTTTTCCCCTCTCCTTTTCCCCTGTTTCCACCCTGCCAACAGAGCCCCGATCCAGCACCCTTCTCCGCACGGGGGGCAGGCGGTGCTGCGGGCAGATAAGCGCTCCCAGCCCGCGGACAAGCCCAGCAGACCCGGCGCAGCCCCCGGCGCTGCTGCGGGCGCCCGATAAGCGCCGGGGGCTGCCG